GATGATTCAGCCATAGACACAGCTTTATATTTTTTCTGCATACCTCAAGGTACCAGGCGTGGCTTGTGAATGCTGAGATGGTGGGGCACTTCCAGGTCTGCCGCTGAGTATGAGGGCACCCTCCCCGTGATCCTGTGGGACTCTCCATCTGCCCCACCATCTGAGAATTCATGAGTTGCACCTGGTACTTTAAGGTATCTAGAAAAAAACACATAAAGCTGTGTCTAGAGCCAAATCACTAATTCTCTGAATCAGAAACAAATGTTCAGATTCAGATTCTGCTGAATCAAATCAGAATAGTGATCTGAATCAACAAATCAAATCACTGTCCCAGAATCGGGCCGAATCCAAATGAAATACTGCCTGCTTCGCACACCCCTACAAGATGTTCAGTAGTTGCCATATTAAAAACAACATTTCTTACCAAAAGTACAATCCTCTTCACTATTTAAAATGTTGTTGCTTTACATAAAGGTCTGTCCTGACAGAATATATATCTGAATAGTACTGGCTTTGGGTATATGTACATGAGTCCTTTAATTGTAGCTCAGGGAGCAAAACACAATAGATACATAGCAACCACCACCTAAATATGCTATCAAGGACACCAGGCAAAGAAATGTAACAGTAATAAAGACAAAAATGTTCTCCAACCTTGAGTTCTTAATGGCTTCATAACAATTATGAAGAAACAGTTTCATTTAGTGAAACTGAACAAATTAGTTTTGCAATAGAATCATGAATGCTTATTCCCATTTTCCCAAGAAGAAACAGAATTCTTGTTCATAAATATTCCTACATATGACAGATCAGTGCTCCTTCAACCATTTGGAAAGTTTCATTCACAATGGAATATAAAAATTCTTGGAAAAAACACAGTCAAAGAAGTATTAACTTTATACAAACTGGGACTCCCTAAGCTTTACTAAGTAAATAAATACCTGAAGTTCTGCTATGTGCTTGCACTAGTTTTAATTAAATTATACCAGTCCAGCTGGAGAACAGGTATGAGGCCCTAGCAGCCC